TCGAAATTCATATACCCTTCCCACAAATGATCGATTAATGCATTTTGAAGTGTAACGTGAGCCTTTTTATCCTTGATTTGTATATGACGAGCAAGAAATTCTTGAAAACGATGAATTTTGTCTTCAACCAACTCAACTTTCAGACTTGATGCTTCCACCCATTCTCAAACTAGTGTATCAGTATTACGTTCGTCCTCGATAATCATGTTATGCATGATTATACTTGCATCCGTGATATTATGTAATACTTGTTTTTCCCAAAACCTTGTCCGTTCTTTTATTATTGTAAATTTTGATTGTAGAACGTCAAATGCACGTTCAACATCTTTTCTACACACTTCTTGTTTCATTGCAAATAACTTTTTTGGGACCGCGTGGCTCGTGAATTGTTTAAATAACCGTGTTTGATATATTTTAATTTTCTTTTTGTATTCCTATTTTAATTAATTCATTAATTATTATTTTTTACATTTAAATAATGTATTTTAAATGCACTTTTAAAAATAATAATAATTAGTAATAGTACTAATTATATTAAAATATATATAACACAAATGACACAAATACTCATCCATCAATTACAACGGAGAAAAATGGCAAATTTGACTTTGCATCATTTTGCCCCAAATGATGTAAAGTGAATAGTATTGTACCATTTTGCACCAAAATTTGGTGTATTTTGGTGATTTTGTGCATTCATTGGATATGTCCTAAAGGACCCAACTACGAAATCCCCATTTCAGGGAAGCCAATAGTTGTTTTCCTCTATCGAAATTTTTGAATCCAATGGAATTTTCAAACCCAGTGGAATAAGGCCAACAAGCTATCGAGAAGGAAAGGTAATCCTATGTCCGCTCTTTCAATCCCAAGGACATTTGGATTAGCACAAGAATCATGTTTGTTATATTTTAATATTCTTTTTGTATTCAATTAATTCATTAATTATTATTTTTTACATTTAAAAATTTTATTTTAAATGCAATTTTAAATATAATAATAATTAGTATTTGTAGTATTAGTAGTAGTAGTACTAATTGTATTAAAAAATATATAACACAAGTGACACAAATACCTATCCATCAATTACAATGGAAAAAAAATGGCAAATTTGACTTTGCACCAAATGCTGCAAAGTGAATAGTGTTGTACCATTTTGCACCAAAGTTTGGTGTATTTTGGTGATTTTGTGCATTCATTGGAGATGTTCTAAAGAACCCAACTACGAAGTCCCCATTTGAAGAAATCCAATAGTTGTTTTCCTCTATCGAAATTTTCGAATTCCAATGGAATTTTCGAGCCCAGTGGAATAAGGCCAACAAGCTATAGAGAATGAAAGATAATCTTAAGTCTGCTCTTTTAATCCCAAGCACATTAGAATACAGAATCTGCATTTGAACCTACGCATTCACAGTCAGTACCAGATTAATTCAGCTCCTTCCTACAAGTAGTTACGAGAAAATAAATACGTCTTCAAACACCGAGATTTTTTTCTACTAGAAATTCTAAACTGAAACAAGATGACCAACACAAATATCTATACTTTATTCTCATCTGAAAGTGATCAAGTAAGCTATGACAATTGAAAATCTAATAATTTCAAAACCAGCATCAGCTGAAACACAAGATTACTTGAAAAGAATTAGGGAATGAAATTGCAATTATAGTTAGCCCCCGTTTGGCCACCCATTATTTCAAATTTTAATGGGTAAAATAGTATTTTTTTGAAAAATAAGTGGTTGAAAATAAAGAAAAGTTTTCGATTTACGTGTAATATTATTTTATGGAAATTATTTGATTGAAAATAAGAGAGAAAAATAAGAATTAAACTAATGGGAGCCAAACGAGGGCTTAGACTAGCCAGAGCATCAAGATACAAGAAAATCATCACATTGTTGAAAAAATGCAGATTCCAAAGCTGATGATTGGGTCAGCCCATGTCCATTTTAAAGTTAATTTTTATTTCTTTTTTACGAGTAGCCGTAACAAAAAATAAAAAAATACAGTCCTTTTTCAAAAATAAAAATAGAGTTTGGGTCTCATTCCACTGGGTTCTTATCGGCCATAAAACTATCCACTTTCCATCAAAGTAGACGGTTATAAAATTGCTACTTTTCAAATGGGCCAATTGGATTTAAGAAATATAAACCACTTTATTTAAGGGAAGAATACATATATCCGGTGTATTGTATCCGGTGTATTATATATATATATATATATATATTTCTGTTACAGCAGTTTCCTGAAATCAAGCTCAGTTCCCATTTATAACAGGATTCTTTCCACTACAACAATCGAGATCTCAACCAAAAGAGCCCAAATTTCAGAATTTCATGTCACAACCCTATTTTGGCCGCCAGAGAAGAAGAAAAGAGAAGGTAACGGACGATGAATTTGAACGATTTCGAAATTATTATTTTCTCCGTGTCACAGAATATTTTCAATTTTGTATTTGGATTGATGGAAATTAATTGTTTGTGACACAGATTTGGGACTCAATTTCGTGAAATTAACACAATCGCAGAGAAAAAGACAATCTAGGTAATACTTCGACAATATTGTGGATAGCTACTATGTTTGTAGTCACGATCCATCGAATAGGATTTGCGTGCAGTCACATAATCGTCCATCGGATCTATTCTGGGCGCATATTTTGTTTGATGCAAAAACATTGTTCCATATCAGTGTTGTGAACAAATCTGAACTACTTTAAACCATCTTTGGGATTTATTCCGATGATCTGTGACCGGTTCAATAATCTGAACAGATTGTAACCACACCAATCAGAGGATGTAGGCAGCATATATTACCAGTGTTATGTGATTTGTACTGGAATAGGTAGATGTAGAGGCTTCGTTTTCGAGCATGAAATGTAAACTATGTGAAAAAAAATGTGGCATGCAATTTATTCCATTATGCACACTGACAACAAATGTGACCAATGTAATGGAAGCATGTGTCTGTTGCACCACGCATCCTGACATTGATTCCTGTCATATGTGACCTTCTTATAAATGTGACCGAAATGTAACTACGTGAAACAGTGGTTGCCATCCACGTATGTGACTTCCGTTTCACCTACAGTAAGATAATGTATTTTCGTTTGGATACATAGTAATGCGACTACTCGCCGATTTAGTTAGCAATGCCACATATGAACAGAAGTTCACATATCCTATGAATATCGGGTCAAATATTTAGCGTACCTTCTCATATATCTGGCAGGAATGTAACCACATGAAACAGTGGTTGCCATCCAACATATGTGACCTCCATTTTATTGCATCTTTAGTCTCATATATGACTTGTTCACAAATGTGACCTCCATGTCATTACAGTCATTCATGTTTGAACTATATGCATTGTATTACAATAAATCAGCTACATGAAATTCAATTTTTGTAGGAATGGTGTACGTGCACGTATGTTTGCTATATGGATCTCAGTCAGCGTTGGCATTGGTAGACCGTGGTTGCGGATACGTAAACCTTGTTGACACAATCATGTCAGAGTTCAGCTTGGATCCTACGAAGGTGGCAGTGTCACTGAAGTATGTCCTGAATGACAATTTGCCTCCAGTCAAGATAAAAAATGACAGTAACGTCCTCTCGTACATTCTGCTGAAGGAAGGCGATCGCGAACCTGTTAAATACCCATTAGTCATCGATGTTACCGATGCAGCAATAGAGAAGCCATCTAACACGGCTCCATATACTGCTTACCATAGCAGCGAGCTTCATACATTGCGGGATATGGCAGCTAAAATATGCAAAGCATCGAGTGAACATGTAGGTCACATTTACGACAACGAGGTCACAGTTGTTTCAGTAGCAGAAGCTGGGGAGGTCGAAGAAGGAAGGGTTTTCCGTGATAAGGAGATTTTAAAATTGAGCCTATCCTTGTTTGCCATAAGGAATATGTTTGAGTTCATGGTTGAGCGGTCAGACAAGAAAGAATATGTTGTGAGGTATTCACAGGAAGGATGTAGTTGGATATGCAGATCATCGAAATGGGACAAAACGGATCTATTTAAGATTCGAAAGATTGGTAGTCACACATGTGCATCAAATGTAGTGTTGGGGTCACATAGACAAGTCACAACTGCAGTTGTTTCATCTAGAATCAAGTATAAGTACACATCGTCCAGCACCATATACACACCAAAGGATATATGCAGTGAAATGTTGCATACTTTTGGAGTCTATTTGAACTACACGAAAGCTTGGAGATGCTGTGAACAAACCTTGAAGATGATTAGGGGTGATCCAACCGAATCATTCAGTAGGATACCAAGTTTCTTCTACATGCTCCAACAAAAGAATCCAGGTACGGTCACATATCTAGAGATTGATAGTCACAACAGGTTGAAGTATTGTTTTATGGCACTCGGTGATTCAATACGTGGGTGGCCACATTGTAGGCCTGTAATTGTAGTCGACGGTACATACTTAAATGGTCATTACGGGGGCACACTCTTCACAGCATGTACGCAGGAAGCAAACAATAGCATATTTGTTCTTGCTTTTGGTGTTGGGGATAATGAGAACGATAACTCTTGGAGATGGTTTTTGGAAAAACTGAAAGAGACTTATGGATATAGAGAAGGACTATGTTTTGTATCAGACCGTCATGGCAGTATAAAGAAAGCAATAGAACATGTGTATCCAGGAGCCTGTCATGGTATTTGCTCGTATCATTTGCTACAGAACCTAAAAGATTATTATGGAAAATCAGGAGAAAATATTACACAAGCTTTCAACTCGGCTGTCCGCGCTTACACATTGGAGGAATTTGAATACAACATGCATCGACTACACACAATGAATGAGAATATTACTGGATACCTAGTAATGTATTGCTTTCCAAAAATAGATATCATGCACACTAAATTGGTCACATATGTCATTGTATATGGAACTCATATGTATGATACATGTTTGCAGGCTGAAGTCGGCCCTGAAAAGTGATCGAGAATTCATATGCCAGTGAACAGATTTTCCACAATGACATCAAATATTGTAGAATCAGTTAATGCAGTCACAAAGGCAGCTAAGAATTACCCCATTGTGTCGTTGCTAGAGTCTTTACGACAAACAGTGCAAATTTGGTTCTGTAAACATAGAGACGAGGCGCATGGACCTTTGACAATGTTGACAAGCAAGTTTGAGAATAATTTAAGAAAAATGAGTTCAGAATTAAGGAACTTAAGGGTAGGTATCTTATCTTTATCCTGATGTTTGTGTTTGTGTACTAAATGAAGATACATGTGACCTGACCATAATTGCATCCGACCTGGAATGAACAGTTGTGATTGTGTTCTAACTATAAATGCATGTGACCCAGTATTAAATTCATCTCTCTTGAAATTTGCATTTGCAACACTGAGTGATTTGGAGTTTGCATCTGTGACTCGAATCCATGATATCCAAAATAAAGTATGACTGCATGTGACCCGATTTGAGCAATGTACACTGAAATTTGCATGTCTGTGACCAGAACTGATCTTTTTGAAACTGACAAAATACAATTGGTACTACAACACTACATTCTTGTAGGTATCTGCTTCCAACCAGACAATTTTTTCTGTCATCAGCAATGACAGGTCTACCTTTGTTGTTGATATTGAGGAACGTACATGCACGTGTCGGATGATGCAAGTCGATCGGATGCCCTGTCCACATGCATTAGCTGTAATTGAGCATACAAAAAGGGATCCGTATGCTTATTGTTCATATTATTACACAAAGGATGCATTTTTAAAAGCTTATGAACATTCAGTATATCCTATTGGAAACCCAGACGAATGGACAGTTCCTAACGAAGTACAAAACCAAATTGTGTTACCTCCTGACCAAAAATGAAGTTGTGGAAGACCTACAGAGAAGAGGAAGAGATCATCTAGGGAAGGCAAACCGAAAGTAAGATGTGGACGGTGTGGTGAACATGGACACAACCGCAGGAGATGCTCAAATTTTCTTCCATTAAACAAGAGCGTTCGACAGAGTAACAACGTTTGAAAAAGACAACTCATAGTAGGGACCAATGCCTGATAAAAACACCAAAGTTTTCATTCTTGAATAAGAAACATTATTCAATTGTGACCATATGTCATATTCTTGAATTTGAAACATTACTGGAATAACAGCGTTGACATCACTTGTGACCAAATGTCTTTCAAATGATATGTGGCCTATCTTATCTAGTGGACACTGTAATCTGTGACTTGACATTCGTATATCTAGTGCTGCAAAACTAAATATATTACCTCATAATCGTACGACATGTGTGTCTGCTAGTCACATGTGGCATTACGAACTACAACTGCTTCAGAACATAATATGTGACCCCATAATCAAAAGACATATGACTGTTATTCACGTGCGGAATTACGATCAAAATTTGCGCAGAAGAAGAGCTTGAAGACCTCCATATGGAACCTACATCATTTACAGTGAACACATAAATCTGTGACATGATATTCATATCAGGGTCTTTTTTCGAGATTTTCAGTGCATTCGTAAGAGCAGGAAATAACTGAACACTATAAACTGTGACCTGATATAACCACACTTTCAATAGAAAAACTTAAACTGTGACCTGTGCCTGTATTATTCAAGGTATTCTGTGACCTTTTATTAATATGTTTTGTGTCGCAATGTAAATATGTGACCTAATATTCATAGAATATGTGAAACTGCAAACTAAATCGATGACTAGTCGTATTACTGTGTTCGCTGTAAATATGTGACCTCGTAATCATACGACGTGTGACTGCTATTACGAACTACAACTGTGACCAATCGCATTATTGTGTACCAGAAGATTAATAAATTAGGAGATTACATGTGACCATAAGATCACTACAAAATCTTTAATTGTTGGTTTCAGGTCACAGAATGATGACTTGTGTTTCTACTGAACATTTTCATCTGTAAACATGTGACCTCATAATCACATATGTGACCTCATAATCATATGTAAACATGTGACCTCATAGTCACATATGTGACCTCATAATCATATGACGTGATATTTCTATTACAAACTACAACTGTGACCAATCGCATTATCGTGTATCAAAAGAAAAATAAATTAGGAAATAACATGTGACCACAAGATCACTACAAAATCTTCAATTGTTGGTGCCAGGTCACAAAATGGTGACTTGTATTTCTACTCAACATTGTCATCTGTGACCTGACATTCATGTTTTCAGTGCTACTGAACATGAAATGTGACCTCAGAATAAAATTTGCTCAGAATAAAATCTTAAACTATTTGTAAACGGGTCGCAGAACAAAATATGTAGTGAGCACAGTAATCTGTGACCTGATATTCATACGTCCTGTACGGGAAATTAAATATGTGACCAACCCATCAGTAGAAAAATATAAACTGTGACCTGTGCCTTTATTGAACAATGTAATATGTGACCTGTTATTAATATGTTTTCAGTGCTACAGAACATGAAATGTGACCTTAGAATCATAAGACATGTGACTGATGTTAACGTGCAACATTACAAACAAAATTTGCTTAGAATAAAATCTTAAACTATTTGTAAACAGGTCACAGAACAAAATATGTAGTGAACACAGTAATCTGTGACCTAATATTTATAAGTCCCGTGCAGGAAATTAAATATGTGACCAACCCGTCAGTAGAAAAACATAAACTGTGACCTGTGCCTTTATTGAACAATGTAATCTGTGACCTGTTATTAATATATTTTCAATGCTGCAGAACATGAAATGTGACCTCAGAATCATAAGACATGTGACTGATGTTAACGTGCAGCATTACAAACAAAATTTATAAAATCTTGAACTATTTGTAAACAGGTCACAAAACAAAATATGTAGTGAACACAGTAATCTGTGACCTAATATTCATAAGTCCCGTGCGGGAAATTAAATATGTGACGAACCCGTCAGTAGAAAAATATAAACTGTGACCTGTGCCTTTATTGAACAATGCAATCTATGACCTGTTATTAATATGCTTTGTGTCGCAATGTGAATATGTGACATGATATTCATAAGACATGTTAACATGCAAACGAAATCGATGACTAGTCACACTACTATGTGTCCAAACAACGGTTCATTACATACTAAAAGTAGTGGCACTCATGGAATGCAAAAAATGAGTTTACATCAATAAGACAATGTTCAAATCAATCACCCCCATTGATTTATAAAAGACTACATATTCGAGCATAAAATCCGTTTACAAAAACTTTTGTGACAATCCTCATTCAATGACAATGCCCTCTCCTTTTGTGGCCTGCCTCGGATTCTTCACATAGGTCTCCCGATGTTTGTAGAGTAGCGATGCAATATCAAGTCTACACTTGGCGACATCAAATTTCTGTGTTATAGAAGATCTGCCATCTCGAAGGATATATAAAGCATATAATATGACGAACACCCCGCAATCATGACTGTGGAATAACACAAAACAGTATGTTATGAAATAATATTAAAATATGTTATGTATGTAGTATTGGTCACATACTCACCCATTCATCTGTTGGGGTATGGCAGTGTCAACGGTCACCTTCAATTCCATGCACCCAGATCCATTATAGTCAGGGTCTTTTTTCGAAATTCCCAATGCATTCATAAGAGCAGGCAATATCTTCACATGAGGCTCAACACCTTTTAGCACCTTCCAGTCATGGTAAGTTTTACCAGCTGAATTGAACACGATCAATCTGTGGCTTCTGAATTCTAGCAGACCTAGCAACCAGTGAGCTTTATTCGTGGGCAGGAGAGGCATGAACACATAATCTACATCAGCCCAAGGTGTGCTCATAGTTATGCTATCACCTGTGACCACCTGGAACAACCGGCTTCCTGACAACAGAACATTAGGATCTTTTTTGAAAGCGGGGTATATGTCTTTTATCATGTTCTGGAAAGAGGAGTTTGTTGTTGTAGCTCTGTACTATACTTTCCCAAATTTTGCTAGCTGCCGAATGTAGTAGAAGCATGCATCCATGTGCTGTGTGATCAGGAAGATAAGAAATAAGAACAACATCAGAAAATTTCATAAAGTTGTGATTCTGTGACTTGTGACCAGGTTGGTATGTGACTTGTTGAACAAAACATATACTTATGAGACCACTATGTCAGTGAACCGCATAGTAGTTCGTGCATGATGTGGTAGCAGAGTCGTAACGTGGTCTCATTTGTTAACAAGTAATTGTAAGGTGAACAAATACATGAATGTTACCATACCCCGCTATTCAAAGACGTCTCAGGGTCTACGAGTTGGTGGAACCATGTTTTGTTACCGACTGGATATGAGCCAATAACAAAAGCTGGTTTGATTACGTCATCATGCTCATTAAACTTTTTCCTGAAACCAGAAATGTAAGAACAATTTACTGTGACCATATGAGCAATAGATTGAAGAAAGGGAAGAAAATATTCGTGCCTGTTTTTGGGCTTGTACCCTCTCTGGAACCAACCCAAGAATGTCGACTTATCACCTTCTTCAACATTGTCTTTGTAACTTCCAAATACAATAATGTTATCGTCATGCCGGAATAACTTTCCTGCACCCGCAACAAATGGAGAACACAAAATCCTCGTTGGCCTTGACACCCGCTTCATTGGTAATTCAGAAGGCGGTTCAGAAGTTGGAGATTCCTCTGTATTGAAAAAGATAAAATGTTAGTTTATGCAGAATGAATGTAACATGAATTCATGGATGCGTGTGATCTGTGTATTTCGAAACGTGTACCGTTCGTGACCTACACATTCAGTGACCAGCATGCAGCACAAAGAACAAAATGGAAATACCTCTTCCTCAACATTTGCAGATGCTGTGACCACATCAGATATGACAGCATCTACCCGCTTTTGAATTTATGCAGAGTGAGAAACATCCAATTGTGTGTATCTAAAACCCAAGTCAAATGATGGCGGTTGAAGACTACATTCAAAAGTAGCATCATCAGTTGGGTCGACCTTTCCCTTCCCTTTCCTGTCAACAACAGGTTCCTGATTTCCCACTTGCATGTGAAATTGGAGAATATGACATGTGAAAAAATGTAAATACGGTCAGTGAAGGATGGATTGAACATATTGTTTACCTACCTCATCAATCTTGTAAACTTCTTCGACAACATGACTTTCTTCACCTCCAACTACAGTAGCTTCCGTATCTCCAAACTCTTTAACATGACGACCTTTCCTATCGTTGAAAAGCCTTAAAATCTCATCCATAGTACTTGATATCATTGCAGTCACAGACTCGGACAAGAATTGCATATTCGTCCTAATTTCCGTCATGTCACATTTTATCTGTTCTTGCATAATCTTTTTTGTCTGATCACTCCGTTCCGTCCCATGATATTGTGGTTCATTTGGTGAATGTTGGGGGGCCGAAGGGCCTTCAGCAGCATTGGATGTTTCCTGATGTGAAGTCACCTCACATCTTCGTGGAGGATCCACGAAATCATCGTCGTCATCTGCAACATGAGCAGGTCCAACGCCAATGTCCATTACCAAAGGCACATATTCTCCACTCATGCAAGCAGGGTTAGCAGACTTTCGCTTCCTGTTTTTCCTTCGATAGCTGCCACAGGAAAACTCCGGTTGATTTGTTTTGTTATACTGCACCCCATCCATATATGGCATCGCCATTTCCGCTTCACTTGGTACCAGGTCACAGATCTGCATCTGCATTCCAGTAGAGATTAGAAAACAATAATTTTTACATATATTCAACTATCAGACAAAAAGAATTATTGGACCATTACATTAGGCTTCTTGAAGCAATCAGGCTCCTCCAACTTAGAAGCAGATGGTTGCTCGTTTGCAAACCAGTTTTTTATTCGGGGGTGCGTTGTTGATATCTTCGTGACAATAACTTCATCTAGACCAGGGAAGGTTTCGTAGATCCATGCTTGAAAGGCTACCAACATACCTCGTAGCCTGTAGTGTGTTGTTCGACGACTCAACCCATCTTTCAAAGAACTCAAAGTAACATCGGACAGTAACTTTCCCCACGAAAAACTATTCAGTGTAGGGAAGTTTTCAACGAGTGTGAACAAATAGTGATCGACAACTTTCTTATAATCTCTAGGAAACAAATAGGCAGTAATAAAATAGAGGATACTAATCAGTGCAACATCATGATCAAGGAGGGCTTCGACAAGATCTAAGTCCGGCATTTGGCAGGCAGATATAAATGTGGACTTCACATCTTCATGTGTTACACTACCTACCTGAGAAAAGTATTTTGTCTTCAATTGTGACGGTCTACTTTCAAAAATATTGATGTCACTGTTGCCGGAACATCTCAATCCCGTGACCAGTCAAAACTCAGCTATAGAAAATCTTACATATCGCCCGGCAACTAAAACCACAATTCTTCAGGATTGGGTTGATATACCTGCCTCAATAGGAAAAAAGTGAATTAGCTGTTGTTGTACCACAATTTCATCGCAGTCGAGGAAATGTGCGAAGCAGGTTCTCCTCATGATTTGCTTCTGATGGTTGGTTAAGTTTGTTTGTATACTTTTCAAGACACCCTTGGTCACTGATGTTGTAATCTTGCCTGGGAACCACTGTTCCTCTGGAATGATGAATTTCCAGGCCTACACGAAGTTTTTAGAATGACGTAATGTTAAGCAAATGTAGTGAAAGCACAAACACTTAGATATGCATGCACCTGTACAGTTAGCCTGAAACAAATTGTTTTGTACATGTCACATATGTATGCAACTGTGCACTTAGACCACAAAAACATATTCATAATTCGATATCATGGTCACATATAACTATTCAATAACTATGTTATCAATCAGGTCACATGCATGCACTATGTCATCCATTAAAGGCACAAATTCATAATTGTCTCGGTCACAGATTCACATATTGGTCACATGATCATGTTGATAATGGTCATGTTCACAGATGGTGTAATAAAAACTCATTTCAGCACACATGTTTACACACAAACGTAGTCAAATCACACAGTCAGCCTAGAAAACTGATTATTTTGAAAGGGTCACATATATATGTAATCGTGTACTCACGCCACAAAACATATTCACAATATCGTAAGACAATAATAACATGGTCGCAGGAATGCGTAATAATATGAATTCAAGCCTCATATACACAACCACCTTAGTGACCGATGGATATCATGGTCACACGCCATAAGTGTGTTAAAAAACGTAGTCACAAATTGGAGCTCATGGTCACATAAAACTCTTCAACAATTACGTTAACAATCAGTTCAGTACATGCATAATGTCATCCATTGATTAAGGCCACAAATTCATATTTGTCTCGGTCACAGGTTGACATAATCATCACATGAACCTTCATTGTTGATGATGGTCATGTTCATCGACGGGGTAAACAAAACACATTTTAGCACACATGTTGTTCACACACAATGAGGTGACGAAACTTTAATCCTACGATTACAACAGATTAAGTTTACAGATGTCAAATTAATGTTCAATAGTGCTAAACCCATGATTCCACCAACATGTGTGCCACTAAAATCAGAACGCATACACCAGAAATTTAAAAAACCTTGTTTGATCGCACTTTTCTCGCGGACACCGAAACGACGTGCTTCTTAGGTGAGGTTCTTTTGGGGCTCTGCTCAAATTTCCTCTTTTTTGTTCGTTTTGACATGTCTTCGACATTAGTAACCGGTTTTGTGCCCTTCAATTCCTCCATTTCACTTCGCTTGTTGATCCCAAGCAAAAAAATTGGGCGAAAAGTACTTGAACAGATTATATACTACTACGAATGAAGCTGATAACACAGTTGCAAAATGGAAAACGAGAGACTTCGAAATTACCGGATGTGAAATCGAACGATCGAAGCGGATTCATGGGGCAAAAGTTTTGGGTAGTTTGGAATCGTGCAGAAGATATTGAGAGAGAGAGAGGAATTAGTATATTATAGAAGTTAACTTAATGGATATCCTAATTGCGATAATTAAGGCACCAGTTACTATACGTATGATTTAATTATTTAACAAAAAATTAATTATTAATATTTTAATAACATAATAGAAACCGGAGATGTGCATATAAATATTTCAAACCTAGCTTGTGAACTCAGTTCTTCATATACCTGGAAATATGTAATTTCCACTTTATTTAATTATTTAATAGTAATACATGGGCCACAATTAATTGGTTTTACATTCTTCCACTTGGCCCATATAATACTGCTTCGTTATGTGATCTATAGCATAATGCACATATCATAAGCAAATCCCTCGTACATTGGCCACTTAATTATCATCCTTAAGACTAATAAGAGTCGTGGCGATTTTACACCATCATATCGATAGAATTCCTTCCATGTACTACAATAATAGTCCCTACTTGACATGACGCGTAGTGAGAAGTTCAATAATTACATTCCAATACTATCTTTAAAAGGACTATCCCTGTTAGCATTTATATAATCCATTTATGTACATGTACCAATAATTATGACAAGAATAGTATTTTGTCAAATATAATACATAAATGAGCTCAAAGTGTCAATCCATAAATTGCATAATAATGTCAATGATCATTTCCAATAATACACATTCTTTCGACATGTTCATTAAATGTCTTTGGTGGTAATCTTTTCCTTAGTAGATTTGCAATCATAAGATTGGTATTAATATGCTCGATTGACACTTGTTGTTTTTGAACTTCTTCTTTAACGGCATAGTACTTTAGTTCCATGTGTTTAGCACCTTTAACATACTTTTCGTTCTTTGAAAAGGAGATCGTCATAGAATTGCCACAATAAATTTTAAGCGGCTTGACAATATTGTCGACAATTCCAAGTCCTGAAATAAAGTTCCACAGCCAGTTTCCTTGAACTGTAGTCTCAAAGCATGCCACAAACTTAGCTTCCATAGTGGATGCAGCAAAGGCTGACTGCTTCCTACTTTTCCATGATATAGCCCTCCAGCCAAAAGGAACAGATAACTAAATGTGGACATTCTAGTATCCACACATCCAGTGAAATTCGAATCTGAATACCCAATGACCTCTAAGTTATCAGATCTTCTATAAGTGAGCATGTGATCTTTCATTCCTTGCAAGTATCTCAATACTTTCTTTGCAGCTTTCCAATGATCAAGTCCCGAGTTATTTTAATACTTGCCCTGCACTTCAATGGCAAAACTAATGTCTGGTCTGGTGCAAATCTAAGCATGCATTAAGTTTTCAACAAGAGATGCATAAGGAATAGCTATCATTTGTTTGCAGTCCAATTCGTTTTTAGGATATTGCATGAGACTAAATTTGTCTCCTTTTTTAATTGGAACAACAATCGCTGAACAATTTTTCCTCTTAAATCTCTCTAAAACTTTGTTGATGTATGCCTTTTGAGGCAACCTCAATAATCCATGTGACCTATCATGAAATATTTCAATTCCAATCACATAGGTTGCCTCTCCCATATCTTTCATTTCAAAATTTTTAGAGAGAAATTTCTTAGTCTCGTGTAATCAATGTTTTGAAAATTGGACCGGACCGGCCGGTTCAACCGAAAAAACTGGAAATCAGCCTCAAATCCGGTCCAATACCAATAAATTAATCGAAAATGAAAAAAATCAATAAATAACCGGTCGAACCAGCCATTTTAACCGGAAACCGAAAAATCGATCACGATTTTTATTGGTTTTTTTCAAAAAAAAAAAAGACAATAATAATAATAAAAGTATAATTACTTTGATAAATGGGCTCAAGCATTGGTAAGCCCAATCTTATGTTCCTTCCAATAAAAGTGTTGTTTTTAAAAGAGGAGAGACATACAATGTTTTCCTCAACTTACAACGTGGGATAAGTATAAGTGTTGTTTTTAAAAGAGAAGAAACAT